CAGTTAACCCATTAAGCGCCAGCACTCTCCCCTTGACGAGTAAAATCGTCTGGCGTTAAACAGAATAAAATACTAAAGTAGGGTGCATCGCCACTCAATGGGATATAGTTGCATTTTTTTGTAGCTATTCCTGGTTAGGTCTAATAAATGTATATAAATTTCCACTTGATAATTGCCATCTACAAAACCCTTTAACTATATTATTCAATCAAGTGAGATGCTACTTAGAATCTTGATACTATATTGTGGTGTAGCACTATAATACTGTACTGTACTGTACTGTACTGTACTGTACTGTACTGTACTGTACTGTACTGTACTGTACTGTACTGTACTGTACTGTACTGTACTGTACTGAACTGTACTGTACTGTACTGTACTGTACATGTACCATTCTGTATTCTTGTTGTGGTGCGTATATGCTTAGCCATGTGCTTCTATCTGCTCTGCAGTGCTAATTACTGTCTTGAGCAGTAAGGCATATTCATTCAATTATATCCAATATAAGACTGTTATAAGACTTGTGATGTGTTGCACTAATGCTGTGCTATTTACTAACACTACAGTACATTGGCTGCCAATGGCTGGGTTGTGTTAAACACTTCATGGCCCATGGCATCCTACTTTGGTATTTTACTTTGTCTAATTCCAGACAATTTTACTTTTCAAGGGAGGGTATTGCACACTAATGTGGGCTAACCAGCTCAAACAATCACCTCAAACTCTATTGTGCTGCACTGAATTTTTATGTGTTTTAAACTCAGCTGTACTTCATTGTGCTACAGTAATCTTAACTATGCGAAATTGTGCTGTACTGTCCTTTGGTGCATTGTACTTTCAGGCATATTGTACTGTAATGTACTGCATGATGCAAAATTGTACTATATACTTTGTTGTACTGTAATGAAATATAATGAATTTTGTGTTGTCATAGCTGTCATGTGTTGTTTTAACTAATAATAGTGGATTGTATTGTACTGTATGACAAGTACAATGTGTACAATTTGTACTTGCTATGTTTAAATTTAATATGATACAACACATCACCACAGAATAATGAAAATAAGTTGTAATAAAACACTGCCTCATTGAGCTGCTGTGACCAAAAATGACACTCCTCTCATCTGAATATTTATATTAAACACGAAGTAAAATATGTTCACTTACCTGAAACATGAATAATGCGGTTCTCGCCTCCCTTCCGTATAATTTTCACGTTTTTTTTCTTGAGTGCAATAGAAAGGAAAGCAATCTGAGCGAGTTAAAACTATTAAAAAAGCCGAAAACACGACGCCATTTTGTTTGTCTTTTATAACAAATAACTCCAATAAATGGAGTTATATCTGAATAACTCCACCATCAAGAGTTAATTTTGCATACTAATTATTCGCCCGTATCCCCTTACTCCTCAATGAGAGTTACTTTAACTCCTGAAATGGGGTTAACGTAACCCTAAAATTTTAACTCCACTAAAAAGGAGTAATAGGGGAGTTATTTTAACTCCCTGAAAATAACAGTGTGCGTTGCGTAACATAACTGCGATTTTACGATGTAAAAGTAAAGAGTACGCCTGACTTTGGTATCCGTTAAAGATGGACAAGTTCGTTTGAGCAAACCAAGTAGCTTGTTGGCTTTCGATGTTAATTCATTCATATGCGAGTCCCACAATAGTTTACTGGATAGAGTGACTCCGAGATCTTTCTCCTCCTCAACTTTCGGCAACTGTGCCGAACCTAGGCAGTAAACATAGGAAATTGGGGTTTTTTTGCGCGTGACGGATAAAACTTTCCATTTTAATGCGTTGAATGTGATGTTGTTGTCACTACTCCAAACATCTAGGTTGGTTAAAGCTTGCTGTAGCTGATCACAATCACTAACCGATGTTATTGTTCTATAAACCTTTGTATCATCTGCGAAAAAGGCCGACATTGTTCCATTTTCTACCACCTTGGGAACATCGTTAATGAAAATGACAAACAGCATTGGTCCAAGGATACTACCTTCCTAGATTGACCAGTCTATCCTGATACTCGGCCGAAAGGATTTATTTAATAACGACTAGTGGGATCTTATCAAATCTTTGTAACAATATTAAAGACAGTGTCAGTGGCGTATAATTTCCTGCATTGCCTTCACTGAAATTCAACGATCAAGAAATATGTTAAAGTATACCTCTCTGTTATTATGCAAATCTACGGTAAAATAATACCACAACAGTCGGATACTCAAAGGAATAACCATCCTCGCAAGCCAGGCTCTTCTACCTACGCTGGGCTGCGGCGAAGACCCTGGTTCAGGCTGGTCACGTAATACCACAAAATCTCCCGAAATCTGGAAGATTTTTAATTAGCGCTCAATTCAACTCTTAGGGAAGGGTGGCAAAGTCAACATGCTGCTTTAGCACTTTAGATACTAAAAAATCGCGGCCCACAAATTCAGATTAGCAAGTATGGCGTAGCGAAGACTGAGAAACACCAAAGAAGGTACACGCCAAATCGAACTTAGATTTAAAGTCTATGTGTAGACTTTGTTGTAGCACAATTAATCGAACCAAAACACTGTAAAAACCTGTACAATAAGGCCAGTGTAAACGTGCTGGCTTCTGCCGATCGAATTATTATACGGTGGAAACCTACTGCGTGGCGATTCACTGCCTCATCTTGTATACCGGCCTTATAGAAAGCCACAGCCTTCAGATTGAAACTGGTAGATACCATAATATAGCCCGACAAGAACCACTGTGTACTCGGGAGAACTCGAAAATGAATCACACTTCCTCCTCTCTTGCGTGGCTTACAGTGACATTCGAGTAAGTTATATAAACAATCTACAAAACGATCTCGCTTCAACGGAGACAAACGTAAACAAACCAACTTTATCAGTTGACATAATGAAGTAATGAAATAATTTAGCGACACCATCCTGAAATTATCCAAATTTATTTTCTGGTGTTTTGAGGAAAGACTTAAGGGGGTCTTCCACCCTAAAAACATTTTTTTTAATTTAAAGGTTTTATCATCATATTTCAGTCAAATATGATGGAATATCCTCAGCTGACGCAGGATCAGTAACTTTTACATTCGTCGTGTTGCCATAGTGACTAAGATAGGCTTCGCTATAGGGTAAAATATAGGGTTTGCTCCAAAAATGATGTGAGCCAAACTGATTTACCAAGGATTTTAGAAACAGCTTTAATGGACACTTAATACATCGATCTATGTCATGAACCTAAAAAATATACAAGTAATATAATAATTAGGCCTTCATATTTTACTTTTTTAAAATTATATGAAGAAAGGAGTTCTTAAAGGCTACTCTTGCAATGTATATTGCTGATATATGAAGTTTTTTAGGTCCATGACATGGCTATGTAACGAGCAAATAAACTCTGGAAATTTCGAACGAATTGATTCAGTATGAACAGTAGGAGAGTTTTTAGTATTTCGCAAAATGCTCATGTGAGAAAAGCGATTTTAAAGTTTTTGCATATATTAGAATAACTTAGATAGAACAATATAATTGAAAATGGAACAATAGACTAAGCCAATCGCATATCTTTATCGCTCCGGGTAAAATCGTGGTTTTATCCTACTAAGGTGTAGAATTTGCTGGATTTCTCTGGTTTACGGTACATTTTCGTTCTTAAAATTACACGGATTTTATAAAGAACGCTATAAAGACTACATTTTTACGTTTTTCTAAAAAATAACGAATATTGGAAAATTTTGGGTGGAAAACCACCTTAAACAACTTGGGGCCGGGAATGCTGGTAGTGATTAGTTAAACTCTTCATCCTGTAAATAGTATCTTCTTATATCTACTTCTTAATATTTTTATATCTTACATTGTTACGTTATAGGTAAAGTGGCACTCGCGTCAAAATTTTTATTTTCTCGGACGAAAATGCTCTTAAAACTGTATAGTAGCTTGTTTTGAAGATTTTGTTCTCATGCTTAGTTCTTGTGATATATCATATTGTTTGTAACCATGTGACGTCATTCACTCAATTACATATATAATGAGATATCGTAATTGTTGTGTATTTATTATTTATCAAAATCTTTCCAAAGATGCAGGGCATTTGTTAATTTAACCTACATTATTAAGCATACTGGGTTTTTTTTAAACAAATCCATAAAAAATTGCAAAGATACACAGCAATTACTGATATCTCATTATATACAGGTATGTAATTGAGTAAATGACGTCACATGGTTACAAACAAAATGAAATATCTCAAGAACTAAGCATGGGAACAAATATCTTCAAAACAAATTACTATGCAGTTTTAAAAGCATTTTCGTTTCAGAAAATAAAAATTTTGAAACAAGTGCCACTTTAAGCTGTAGCAATACCTGTAAAATATGGTCATGTTAATAAAGTGATTATGAACAACACACACACACTAGCGACGCCCCTGACGTCTTGGATTATATTATATTCCGACTTGATTAAGTAATTATACGATACAGCTGTGATGGAAATGAGTCAAATAACCTGCACAATCTCTTCTTCGCGAAGTTAAGGACATGTTAACGATACACTTTTTAGGAACCTACACTGGTTATCGTGTGGAAAGAATCTTTACTGGAATGCATGGAAGACTAAAATTTAACATTCCGAAAATTTAACGCTGTTCTTTCTTAATACAAAGTCATCTCTTTAAACATTTAATAAGAAAAATCAGCGATACAAAGTTTGTAAGTCGACGTTTCGATGTCATCATAACACCATTATCAAGACTAAGATAAAAATAAGCTAGTTCACTAAGATTTAAATACAGAATTTTTTTGTATAGAATACATTATAATAAAATTAAATTACCATGTTATAAAAACAAAGTTAATGAGGCATACTAAATTAATTGAGTCCGACTGTCCGTTCAAACTAGGTTTATATTGTTTAATAAGCAACATTTCATGGATTAGGCAATCAAATGTTCTTACACTTGCGAAAGATCGAAAAAACTTTGTTAAGTGCGTCCATACTTTCTCCATGTACGTCTTTAATATGCTTTCCCACGACAGAGCTCTTATGTTCTTCAATCCGTTGATGTAAGTGTCGAGTTGTAAAACCGACATAACCAGCCTCGCACTGGTCACGCAAGTGTGAGAACAAGTGTGAGAACAAATTTGATTGCCTAAACCATGAAATGTTGCTTATTTTACAATATAAACCTAGTTTGAACGGACAGTCCGACTCAATTAAGTCCAAACTATTTTAGTATACCTCATTAACTTTGTTTTTATAACATGTTAATTTAATTTTATTATAATGTATTCTTATAACATGGTAATTTAATTTTATTATAATGTATTCTATACAAAAAATTCTGTATTTAAATCTTAGTGAACTAGCTTATTTTTATCTTAGTCTTGATAATTGTGTTATGATGACATCGAAACGTCGACTTACAAACTTTGTATCGCTGATTTTTCCTATTAAATGTTCTTTCTTAATTAACTAATTCCTAATATTTGCTGAACTCCTTTCTGTAAGTAAAAGTCGAATACAGGAATATAGATTGAGTTTACGATCAGCGTATGGTACAAAATGAGTGTTAAATTTTCGGAATGTTAAATTTGAGTCTTCCATGCATTCCAGTAAAGATTCTTTCCACAGGATAACCAGTTTAGGTACCTGAAAAGTGAACCGTTAACATGTCGTTAACTTTGCGAAGGATCGAGAAGTTCTGCAAGTCATTTGACTCATTTCTATCACAGCTGTATCGTATAAGAACTATAATTACCCAAACTAGTCGAAATATAATATAGTCCAAGCCGTCAGGAGCGTCGCAAGGGTGTGTTTGTGTTTGTGTGTGTGTGGGGGGTGTGGGGGGTGGGGGGGGGGCGTGAACACCACCCCTTTAAATTGTTTTCGCAGTCGGAAAAACTTGAATTGGATAGAAAGGGATACAACTGAAATACATGAGTTACACTGATTAAAAACTAATATTTATAGCAAAATATTTTGGAAAATGTACGAAAACATAAAGGGAAAATTACTGAATGACGTGCGTCAACAAGAAAGGAAAAGGAAATAGTTTGTAAAATATTAATTAGTGGCTCAGACGAGTAACGAGGCGGCAAAATTTCCCTTTAATTTCCCTTTAAAGAAATTACACAAGGCTTCTTCTTGATCTTGATAAAATTTTTCAACATTTAGAAGCGCACATGCTGTAGAAATGGCGACAGAAATCTCAGCATATAAATAATAGATATAGTATAAATCAAACGCTCCTTCACTTGCCGCCATATTTGTTTAATTTGTTATTCACTTATTCGAGCGGCAGCATATTTAGCGTATTAATTTTCCTGCATAAATTATTTTCCCAAAAATCTGGAAACGGGCTGAGCCGGCGTAGCAACAATCAGTTTCAAAAGTCTTGGGACAGATGCCACAAAACCTTTGAATTTCAACAAACGTCAATCCCCCTCACTCCTGTTCAATGTTGTGTCCCATTTTTCGTCAGGTTTGATGTGTTTTGGTTGGAACAACATTGATTGGGGTGGGTGGAGGGGGAAGGGAGCGGTATTATGTGTAAAAAACTGTAGTAATCCAATGACAATCAAAAACTGCATGTGCCCCGTACAGGGGATAGAATGCTCTGCCAACGAAGTATTTCTGCTCTATTTCGTTCACAGAAGATCTAATAGAACATTTTAAAACAATTAAGTTCTAGTAAAATTCTCAAAGTTAATAATTAACAGGATATGAATATAACTTGTTATGTCATATAGAATTTCTAATCGTTGTTGGTTTTTACAAATTTCGGCAGAGCACAAGTGGGTTATTTGAGAGGTTATATATGTTCCCGTAACTAGAACTGTCATGATTAATCATCGAATAAAACAAATGAATTTTTAGGATTTAATATATAACGAAAACTATAAAATGTTTTATGCATTTT